TCCAGGATTGAAAATTTTAGGGCAGTGATTCTCAAAGTCTGGTCCCAGGACCAGCCCAGCAGCACCAGCAGCACCCTGGAATTTGTTAGAAATGCAAATTCTCTAGCCCACCACAGTAAAATCAGAGATTCCAAGGGCAGGGCCTAGTAATTTTAGTTTTAACAACCTTCCCTGGTGATTCTATTGCAAACATGCTGGAATTTGCCTGCAAAATTTAAGGAGGCACTCACTCTCAGGTTCATGTAAATTCAGAGTCTGCACATGCATGAACTTGAAAATAACAACCACCTTAAATTTGGTGCCCCAGGCTCATCACATGCTTTCCTTACCCTATGCAGGCCCTGAAAACCAATGCTTTAGGAGAATCCAAAGACCACAATTTTGGCGCCCAAATTAACGGGCATTTTCCTAATGGGCAGTGGTTGGTGGCCCAGAGGGGCAGCTCCTCTGAATAAGTGGAAGTCAAAGCCTAAAGGGAGACACAGAGCAGACTGATTTGAGGGCATATGTGAGATACATCTATGGGGATCCACCCCGGAAACTACTGGAAGTCACTTGGCCATGGTGGGGGTTGGGAAAACTTCAGAGAAAGACCTGAGCTTCTCCTCCCCATGGAATCTAGAGAGTTAGCAAACCTTTGGCTATGGGTAATTAACATGGCAGACATTTACTGAGTATTTATTATTTACTAGACGTGCAACTGAGAACCTGACTTCTCACACTCTCTCATCTAACAATCAATGCAAAGGTAGGTTTTATGATCCTGGTTTTGCAAAAGAGAAAACATAGACAGAAAGGTTTAATAATATGTGTCCTATCTCAAGCTGATAAGTAGTGGACTGAGAATTAAACACTCTCTAGTACCTCTCAAATTTGCTGCCACTGCACTGGGATTAATGAATTTCCCCAGATATGACTTCCACTTGCTCCCACCTCAGACAGCTGACTCACCAGTATCCCTGTTTGCTCCTCCAAGTGTGGCTTCACACTTGGAGCCTATCTCCACTTCAAATTCTTAGATAGCACTTGGTGATTTGTTTCTTCTGCCCTAGACTTTGAAGCCTGTAGGACTGGACATGGTTCCTGGAATTGATTTGTTGGATCCTTTGACAAAAGTCCTAGGAAGAGGCACTTCTTTAGGTGGGACACTGAGACTGGGCCACCCTTACTTCATTCAGACGCTGCCTGACACGGCACACCACTTTGAACCTCCCTTTTTTAAATGGAATCTCATTAGCACCTAAAGTTTACAAAGAATTTGATACATTGCATATCCCTGAAAAATTTTTATATGGTTAGGCAGAAGATGGGTTTGTATATAGAGAGCCACAGACACACAATGACTGGCATGTCCAAGTCAGTGCCTTTTGGGTAGATAGCACAAGGGAGTATAAGAACTGGCAGTGCTCAACTCTGGACTGCAACTTCAATCCTGTGACCACGGTACAGTTGACACACATCTCCAGATTTTAGTTTACCCCCTTTAAAAAACGGGGATTTTAATGCCCTTGTACTCCCATGGCTTCTACAGCTTTACCACATCTTATCCTACTCAAGTATATACACAAGACTGCCTCACTCATTCACTCAATGCCTATCTATGACATTGACTGCCTATCTATGACATTGAATAACCAAGGGTGTGATGAACAGTTGTTCAGGGAATGAAGCATTTATGGAGGGTGACTTTGCTCTATGATAGTTTAGAATATCATGTCTTGCCTACTTCAAGTTCAAGGGGGTGCAAGAGATAAACGTAGCTCATGAAGAACAGGGACTTGCAGTGTGGAAAGCATGGGATTGGAGATTCAGCCTGCAGAGGATGGCTGGTGGCTACACATTGATTCTAGAGATTTAGAGAGACTATTTGTAAGTGCATGGAGTCTGTTTGGAATGATCTGTTCTGTTCCCAACTGTGATTCCTACAAGGATGGTTTGCTGCTTTCTCCCAACCCGTCCTTGGACTGTCAGTCAAGGAGGAGTCCTGCTGATGAAGCCTCGTAAAGCCAACACTTTCCCAGCTGCCAGAGCTGTAGGCCAGGCCAGTTACTTCACCTCCTTTCTTCCTGAGGCCAGAAGATTTGGTAATTTGTCCATCACTGAGATGCAAATTATTATTTTATTTACCTTTGTCCCTGAGAAGGGACCCTCTCAGCTTTTACTCAAGACATTGACTCAAGGGTGGCTTGTAAACTTGTACTGACTGGGCTGCAGCCCCAGGCAAGTTCAAAGGGAACTTGCTTAAATGACCTGCCTGGAGGAAGCTCTTAAGATTTTGGAAGATTTGTACCTCTTCTGTGAATACTACCTTTGTTTTCCCATATCTGGTTTCCCAAAGTGACTAGCACTAAGAGTCTTTAAGTCTTTAAGATGCCCAGTGGGGTCCAGCAAGGAAGGGAAGCTGGGAAGGCTGACTCCCCTGCACAGCCAGGGCTGCTTACTCTGAGGGAAAAGAGGGAGGGGTGCGGCTGGCAATCACTGAGAGGGCAGGAAGGAGGACTGGGTCTCTATAGCCTATAAGGAAGGGGCAGAGAAAGGGTCTGGGAGAGAAGAGACTCTTAGGTCAGATCAAAGGCTGTCCCCATGGACTTTCCAGACAGGAGCACAGGTAAGAAAAACCACAGCCAGACTGTTCTTCACCACCACCTCTCCCCTCATATCCTGCCGCCACCCCTAAGTGGCCAGCTTCTTGAAGGCAAAGACTAACTTGCTCTTAAATCAGGTTCACATTGGTTAACACATTAAAAATAAAACGCAAAACTCAGAAACCACCCACTTTTCTAACCCCTGCCCCTCTCCAACAAATGTTAAATGTAAGTTCAAGAAATAATTAATTAACCAAAGCCTTTTACCACAGTTTTCCCTTCTGTTATAGACACTGTCTGGTAAATCAAGAAAAACGTACCATTTACCTACTAAACTAAACACAATCCCTTATTATATAATTAACCAAAACACAATTGTATGTAATACAATTATACTGACTGCAATTACACAAAAGTAATGATGCAGTGTAGATGGCAATGAGTTTCACGTAATCGAAAATAATGAGAGCTTCCTTGATTAGAAATTAACTTATCATAAGAGATCCTCATTGATAAATGTTCCTTCTATTGATCTACACTTTGCAAAAGGCCCTGCTGGCTGGTGAAGTCAGTTGCTTCCCCCTCATCATTAATAAAGACAATAGGGGTGGCTACCATTCTGTGTAGTATCTTTTATTCTGAGGTCTCTAAACTAGCACATTCTAATTAAGCACACATTTTATTACCCACTTTTCCAGCTGGTCAAATAGAAAAAAATGAAGCAGAAGAGCCAGGAAGTCTCTGAGATTTGTTGACGATCCCATGTGTAGTGGTATTAACAGAAAAACATGCACATAAAGTTCCACCAAATAATATTGGTCATTCTGAGCATTAGAGGAGACTATGATCTGCATAGCTGATTTCTGTGCCGCTCAGAAGAGGCATCTGCTACCTCTCATCGTTGCTCCCCTGGACTGCGACAGTCGCCTCTCTAGCTCTGGGCTGGTTCTCTTTGAACCCATCCTTCTCACTTTTTCCTTAGTACTCTTTCTACTAAGCAAATCTGACTACTTTGTTTCTTGATTCTCACCTAGAACGTGAAGCCAAATTCTGCAGGCACAGTTCCTCGTAATTGGTACTGGCCCACATCTGTAGCCATATTCCCATCATGTGCTCCACCACAATGACCTGCCATCCCCACTGAGCTACATTTTATTGAATCTAAGACACCATTAATTGTAAGACATACCATTATTTTATATGTCACTAAGAAAAATAAATGTTGCCAATTAAACTGTTACACACCATCAACTATAAAATGCACCCAAATATTAGAGATTTTAAAATGAAAAGTAGGTGTTTTGAGTTGATGACATACTTGCGAGTGATGATCCCTCTGATTTCTATGCCCTTTCAAGTGCTACATCCTGCCAACTCATTCTACACCAACACCCCCCCTCCTCAGCCAAGTCTGCCTGTCCTTAAAGATTCAGCTCAGCACAACTTCCTGAAAACCTCCTTGACCTCACTCTGCCGAGGCTGGACTAAGTTGCAGCTGTCATATGTCCCACAAATAAGGGTGCGCTTCTTGGTCATTTATCACACTTTATTGTAATGACTAATTTATTCTCTGAAGAAACACGTGCAGAGACTCTATATCATCAACACAGAGCCAAGCACTTAACACATACTATTCACCCATTTAATAAACGATATTTTGACCAGGGTGAGTAGAATGGGAAGAATGAAGGAGGCAAGTGCTAGAGAAGAAACATGGTAAACATGATAAACCTTGCTGAAAACTCAGAAGTGATCCACTTTAATTTTCTGCAGCATGCCTTCGAATCCAGAAACTTCAAACATAAGAGCCACAGCACAGGAGAAATGAAGAGAGAAACTGAGCTTTTACTGGATTTGTAGGCTGCAGAGTAAAAGTGCTGATTCTCTCTGTCCAGCATCTAGTCTCTTCTGGGCCAGAGAAGCAGTGGGTTAGGGGCAATGCGACAAAGATCAGCCCCCGCAGAGAGCTGCTGTGTATGATTGGGCAGTGCCCACACCTCTGGTGTGGGATTCCCAGAGGGCCTATTGCTCACCTGCCTCTGTTAGCAAGGACTCTCCCTGCAGTGAAGAATGAAATGGTTGAGGAGAGAAGTAATTCCTCCCTCTTTTTGCTTTACTCTTAACTTCAAAGTAATCAAATGTTTATGCATAAAATTTTAATCCTTTCACAAATTTGTATTTTGATTTAATTTGCATATCCCATTTACTGCAAGTCAACATGAAGAGAGACTCAACTAATTTAAACCATTTTTCTCTGGGCCTGAAATCCTTTCAGAAATATTTTCCATTAGGCAACTCAATTATGTCTAATATGGCTAATGTCAGTGGATTATAATTTTGCTTAAAGAAACTCATATTTAGAACAGTGAGAATGGGAAGGGGGTGTGAGAACAGAGGAGAAGAGACAATAATTACCTGTCTTTGATGCTACACAGATCAATGTGTAAATCACTAAAATTCCCCAGGGAACCTTGCTGAACTGAAATGAGGTCCTTGGGCTGGTTATCAATAAAGATGAGCCTCATGCAGCCTTGGAAAGCCTTAATGGGATTTAAACATTGGGAATCGGTGAGATTGTCAGGGCACCCTGTGGGACAGAGAAAAAAATGAAGAAGAATGCTGAAATGATCAGTCATTGCTTTGGCAACCTATTGATGGAAAACCTTGAGGTCTAATTATTTTGGTGCTTTTTCATTCACAGCAGTGCACGCATTTTTGTTGTAAATCCTAGCATTCTCAGATGGAGACAGAATTGTACAAAATGGGGCATACTCAATCACAGTATAGAACACAAAACAAAATGTGTTAAAGGGAATACCAACACTACAGCATTTATCTCATTCTTACTGCTTTTTTCCCATTGGTAAGCTATTTGCCATTCTTGCACACGGCATACTTCGCTCATCCCAAGGAAGCAACATATTATAACTACTTAGGAATTTCAGTTCTGTCTTGAAACACACTTCTAAATGCACAATTCAATTCTGAATTACATTTTCAAAGGAAATTATGCTCTAGGTAAGGATGGCAGCAGAGTAATTGTCTGGTTAATTGTTAGCATTAAGGGGCTTAGTTCCTGAGAAAGGTACACACAGGATCATAACTGGAATTTTGAAGTGATGTGCAAAGCAAATCCAAACACTAAAGGAACTAAGAGTTTAAATGCACATAGTTATAGGGCTGTAATAGCATACGTAAAAAGGTTAACACCATACCTTTCTAAAGGGTATTCTTTTAAAAAAATGCATTGTGCTGATTTAGCATAGCTGGCAAGCAGGGCCTATCTACTTCTCATTAGGCCAAGTATAGAGCAACGTAGGTATAGGAGTGCTTGTGCTCTTTATAAACTCCATCCTGATGGTTTTAATAGGTTCAGAGCATATGGGAATGCAAGCTTGAAAACATGGCAATAACCCATAAATAATTGGGAATTATTTCAGCCATCTCTAATAGACAGTCACTGCTGGGCTGAAGCCCAGCAGCTGGTTAACAGCTCGCAGGCACACTATAAAATGAAGAGAGATGCTACAACTTCTAATTGAAGCTGTAGAGAGAATTTATGCAAGTTGACTATTATTGCTCAAACTCATTTTTCACTTTCCTTAAGTTTACAGTCTACGTGTGGGGCATTTGTTTAAACACTGTTCAAATCACAGATAAATCATCACTTCCTAAGCCCAGTGCCCCTTAAGACCCACCTCTAACTTCAACTAGGGGAGGGGAGCCATTTTGCCTTTGAGGCATTTCGGACGCTTACATACTATAATTAATTCAACATCGTTTTCCCCAGAAATAAACACAAGATTGCTTTTCTCTCTCAGTTGATGAAACACGCATATGATGCAAAATTACACAGTCTGTGACATATATTTTTGGGGCCCCCAAGGCCCTTCTCCTGCAGCCTTTGTGCTACATTTGCTAGCATCCCTCTGCTGTCACTCGTGGGTCATGGGGAACATAGATCTGGGATTTAATCCTGGTTCTACTTACTTGTGAAGGTCACAGGCCATTCCTGAGGCCTTAAAATCAAACCACACAGATATGGCTCCACACTGCTTCCCTCCCAGGATACCCCAGTATGTACACTGCATCTGTGCAAAGTCCTTTTTGTATTTCAAAGCTTAACCACATGTCATCGGCATGACAAAAGTGATTTGTAAATTCTATTTAAGAGATTGCATCTTATCATTTTACACAATACTCCTCTTCAGTTTCCTGATGGAAAAAAAATTGGAAACTGTAACCAGGCCCAGCCCATGCCCATACTCACAAAAGGTGAAACCCGTATGTCCACTCCCTGCCATGTAGGAAGCACTGTGCTATACATTTAAACCTTGACCTGACTGAACTCGCCCAGCAATTCTGCTTTGTCTCCCCGTGTCCTTGGTAAGGAAGTTCAGGGACCATTAAGTGTCTTGCTTAAGGTCAGACAGCTATAGAGATTAATTAATTTTTAGAAATTATTTCTATATTACAAACAGCTGACAACGAAATTAGATACTAATATTTTTAACTGATATTTTTATTGAGAAAACTAAATAAAAATATACATGCATCTATAAAAATAAGTGGATGCCTAATCATGTGTTTTTCATTTTACCAGTTTGCCCTTGTGTTTTGGTCATTGGAAAGGTTCCCAGGATTCACCTAGCACTGGAGAGGGCAGGAGCTGTCCTGGCTGCTCCTGTGGAGCTGCAAGACCATGGGCCTTCTAGGTCTTCCCCATTTTTAGCTGCCCCACTTCGTGGGCATGGCCTCCAGAAATGTGGAGAAGGAACGGATAGAGGATTAAGAAATATATAGACGGCTGAGCGTGCTGGCTGCGCCTTCCCACCTCAGTGTTTCCTCCCACAGGCACTGCTGACTGTTGGTACACTTTCTCCAAGTTTTCAGCTGAGTTTCTCCTTTCGAGTGTGATCACAGAGCTTGGCATGGCTACAAAAATCTCCTTTGGACGTGTTATGTAACGCCAGCTCTTATAGCTGAAGTTCTTTTTTCCTCAGCACTGACCCAGATAATTTATATTTGCACAGCTGTTAGAGAGTTTGCTTGTTATTATTTTGGGCTTGGGGGTTGATGTTTGTGTGTGTGTGCACGCGCGTGTGCGTTTGCATTGGGAGAATTGTCTAATTGACAAAGAAGGAATCATCAAAGTGAAATAATTGTCCACTGAATTCTCCCTCCCTCCTTTATGTTCGATCTCAAAATCTGGGGAATTTACCTCCAAAGTAGTAGCTATTTCCAGAATAAATCTGCACCCTGGTAGTGTCCTGAGCCGGGAACGCTGCATCGGTATCCAGAGTGAGAGTGATGCGGTTCCTTCTGGCGGTGATGCTAACTGAATGCCACAAGCCATCATTCAAGTTGCTGCCTGCAAAAGAAACAGGAAGGATAGGCGTAGGGATGATTGATGTGGGGAGGTCTGGAGAGAGTGGGCTCGTTTTCCTCCCCTGCTACGGCCCACGTGCTTTCTCAGAGTAGTCCCCACTCTTCATTTTGCTCAAACTAAATACCCAGCTGCTTCACAAGAGTTATTTTTCTTCCTCTTTTTACCACTGAATTTTATTCCTTTCTTTTTTAGAAGTGGCTGAACAACTTCTGATATGTTTGGTTTAAAAACAAAAGGGAAAATCACAAATTTGTATGTATACTGCAACCAAAGGGAAGTAACAAATTAATTGACATACTGATATGTAAATGCAGAGTAAAAGGTTGGAAAAAAAAAAATCTCAAAATGTTCCCAGTGATTTTATCTCTGGGTGGTGAGGTTATAGGCAATTTTAGTTTTCTCACATTTTTCTACAAATGGCTTATATTTCTTTTTTAGTAAAAAATATTTTTAAAGGCCAAAGTAGAAGAGGAAAGCTAGACTCCAGTGATGTGCCAGGCAGAGGCAGTCTCCCGTCAGCGAGAGGTAACACACTAGTTCAATCCCAACCTTTTTCCTTAACTAATTATGTGACACTGGCTGAGTTACCCATCCTCACTCTGCTTTCATCATCTGTGAATATCATCATTCCTACTCTGTATCATTGTTCATGGGGTCAATTGAGATCAGGCAGGAAAGCTCCAAGGGCAGTAGGGAGCAGAGTGGGTGTTTATTAATAGTTAATCCCTCTCTTGTTCTTTTGCCCAGATGTCTTTGGTGCACACTATGCTGCTGACCTGCCTTATTGAGGAAATTGTATTGGAATTAGTCATGAGGGTTTCAACTACTTCCTCCAAAAAATCTATCCTCTGTTAAGGCTTTGTTGGTGCAAAGTGCTTACTGAAGTTGTATGAACCAGTCCAGTCACAGAGAGTTGTCTGTGACGAGAGTACACAGCCACGCACTCCTTCACTCAAAGACATTTCTTGCACCCTGCTTTGTGTTGAGTTGCCTTCCTCCTCTCTGCACAGTGGGGACAGTGATGGTACTTATAGGCTATTGTGAGAATTATGCCAGTAAACACGTAGTGTATGTAGAACAGTTCATGACACATCCTAAGTAGACAACAACGTTAGCTAAAACAGATGGACAGAACAGCAGCTACAAAATGGTCCTCTGCATTTGGGAGTAAGGATATTAACATCATTTGGTCTTTATCCCAGCCGGTCTTTATTCCGAGTTAAGTGAAAGAGACGTATGCAAAGAAGATTAAAATGCTGTCCTTTGAGTATTTCAGTCTAGTGGAACAGACAGAGAAGCAAGCAAACAGCAACACCACTTGCAATTCCAGGTGAACAGTAATATGGGGGCAGAGAAGAAAAAGGCATAACTAGGAGGATCCACGTGAGGATCCCAAAAAGCCTTCGCAGAAGAAGTGGTGACAGTTTAGGGAAATTTTGAAAAATGAGCAAGAGTGTGCCACTCATAGAGAAAGAGTTCCAGGAGACAGAGAACCTGTACAAAGAAGGAAAGGTCCGGAATGAGAAGCAGGAGAAAACAACAGGAAGGCAGGTGGGAAGAGGATCAGTCACCCAGGGGCCTCACATGGCAGGCTAAAGAAGGGGGTCTCCACAACGTCCTTTGAGAATGATTCTGGAGGGCATTTTACCCAAGCCAGTTCTATCAGAATCTCTGGAGACAGGGCCCGAGGCATCTGCATTTTTAAAAGCTTCCTGCGTGACTCTAAGGTGCAGCCAGGAACAAAAATCCCTGCTTTGGAATATGGGAGTCCCTGAGGGGTCTTTACCATGGGAATGACCTGGCTGGGGGTGCCTACTCAAAGACTCTGGTGCCAGACCATGGGAGCTGATGGGAGTCACGGCTGGAAACAGAACCAGTGGGGCCTACTGCATGCACAGGCCCCAGAAGACAGAATGATGAGAATCTCAGCCAAAGTAGTGGCAGTGAAAATGGAGCACAGGGACAGATGAAGAGCTTTTTCTGAAGGTAAGAGATCAGACTTGGTAAAGCCTACTGGAGCAGTCCCTAAGACAGCAGCTGTGAAGAACCCATTGAAAATCAGAGCAGAGGTCTGCAGGGCTTCTCAGAAGAGCTCCTGAAGAGCTCTGCCCCTGAGCCCTCAGATGGCTGGAGAAGCTGCCCAGGGAGAAGCACAGCCCAGGCTGGGGGCCCAGCTGCATTGCACGGGGGCAGCCATGCTCCAGCTGCTCCGAACAGCTCAGATGTGAGGAACTCTCCTGCATTTTCAGCCAGCTCCCTCACAGTCAGTCTTCTCTGCAGCTCTGAACATCTGCTTGGGGTAGAGAGAACCCAGAGGCTACTCAGCCGGGCAGCTCTACTTTCCCCCAAAGGCCAGGGTTTGAGTCACAACAACAGAGATTCTGCCAATGAAGTCAAGGCTCTGTTAGGTGTTTCCAGCTGGTGAACATTGGACTTCTGTCGGGGGCATTTAGGGGGCATAGCCAGCTGTAGGTCTTCACTTCTTTTACTTTCATTTGCATACTAAATTAAACATATCTGCATAACATATGAGATTGCATCTGTAGATAAACTATAGACTGGATTGGAAGGAATCAGTAACTAGTTCAACAGATAGGGTGTAAATAGCCTCTAAGGGCCCAGTGGCCTGCTAGGCATCAGGGATACAGTAGGGAAGAAAGTACACACAGGGGCCACAGGGAGTGTCCCGTCTAGTTAGAGATATATCATCTAGTCACTTTACAATGAAACTGGCCTGAAGGCAACTGTCTGCTCAGTACGAGGCGGCAGGGCTAGCTTGCGTGTCCTGATGTGGGTGCCCTCTCCTTCCCACGTCATTATCCATGTTTCTGTCTTTAAAATAAACACTTAATGAATTTTGCTTGTTTGTTTTGTTTTTTTCTGTCTGCTTTTCCTTTTGATTTGATCTCTTTTGATCTTTTCCTATGTGGTCCCTAGTCCCTGCAGGGGGACCCTGTGTGAAATCTTAGCTCTTTAGAGGAGAATCATTAGAACAGGAGTTCTAGACGCTGGGAAAAAAAGGGATCACCTGGGAGCTTTTGAAAAGACAGGTCCCTGGGCCGCACACCAGGTTAATTAAGGCGGATTTCTGAGGGTGGCCGCAGGCCTTGGAAGTTTCAAAGATCCCCAGAGATTAAATTGTACAGCCTGGGTTGAGAACGACTCCATCAGAGGTTTCAGAAGAGGAAAGAAGGCCGGCCCCGTGGCTTAGCGGTTAAGTGCACGCGCTCCGCTGCTGGCAGCCTGGGTTTGGATCCCGGGCGCGCACCAACGCACCGCTTCTCCTGCCATGCTGAGGCTGCGTCCCACGTACAGCAGCTGGAAGGATGTGCAGCTGTGACATACAACTATCTACTGGGGCTTTGGGGGAAGAAATAGATAAATAAATATTATTAAAAAAAAAAAAAAAAAAAAGAAGAGGAAAGAAAGAAGCGAGGAGGAGCAGATCTGGGAATAGATTCCAAGGCAAGGAAAGCAACACGTTCTCTTAAAAAACTTTGCTTCTACCTGAGCCCTCCTTTCCACTTCACTCTGATAATGGACCCAAAATAACACCCCTAGAGGTTCTTCAGGGTTTCGTTTGTAAGAACACTCTTTTAAAGGTACAAGTTTAAGTGCTATTAGTTATTCACAAATTAGGGAAAATCAATTCTCTCAGGTCGCTTTCCTCCCCAAACCTCCCTGAGACAAACAGCTCTGGTAACAGTTTTCAGTGGGGAGAACAGGAAAGCAATCCCTTTGATGCCAGGAGCATTGTGATGGGAAAAAGCCTCTGGGGGTAGGGAAACAGGGTATTTAAGACCACTGTGGGGTGCTAAGCTTTCATATGATTTAGAAGCCAAGGCTTAAAAGGTGGGGTTTGAGTTCTGGAAAGATTGTTGGATGATGACAACCATACAATTTTTGAACTTTACAGTGATGTCAAACAATATTTGCCATCTCCCAGAGAGTCAAAGAATAAAAACCAATTAGACTCCACGTTAGTGGGCATAGTGGGAAAGAGGCAATTTCACATATTGCTGGTGGCAGCGTAAGTTTGTACATTCTTTCTGGAAGGCAGTATACCCATAAGTATCAAAAATCCTAAAAATGTCATACCTCATTTCCCATGAATTTTATTCTGAAGAATTAATCCTACAATGGTAACAGCTGCAGCCAAGATTTACGGTGAAGAGATTTCATGACACCATTATTTATAATAGCAAAAATTCACAACTACCACTATTTTCAATAATAATAGTTTAGCTAAATCAAATATGGTAATTTAATAATATGGAATATAATGTAATCATTAAAATCATAGTGTCCAAGAACGCTGGTGATTTCCTGATAAGTGAAAAAGTCTGGCTAAATAGTATGTGTTGTATGGTTCCCATTTTGTTAAATAAAAATTACTACACAGAGAAAGTACTAGAATGATGTTGAATAACGGAATCACAGATTATTTTTGTTTTTTCTTATACAGAGTACTTGAATTTTCACAATTTCTAAAAAGAACATGTACAATCTTTATAATTATTTTTTAATACTAACAAACTGTTGTTCAGCTGAGATGAAGGATAGGAAACGTTTTCATTCTTTTCCACTTCTTCCCCTCCTTGCTTGAAGCAGCTGCTCTCAGGTCCCAGAATTTAGACTTTAAGGCATTAGTATGAAATGTCCCTTACAGAGAGGGTTAAATTGGCTGCTCTGTGCTTGCTCAGGAAACAAACCAAGACTTTAAAGGTTTTTTCCATGAAGGAAAAAAAGACAGTTTCCATCCTTTCAAACAAATTTTTGAAACACAGCCCAACTGTAAAAATAGCTAATAATACACACTCCCAGTGCTGAATATCTACAATGTTCCAGGCACTATAAATATATAATTCCTAATTCTCACAATAATCTTGGAGGCCAGGTTTTATTGTCCTCGTGTTATAGATGCTAAAACAGAAAGTTGGAGAGGCTGCCCAGGGTCATCTGACCATTCAGAGGCAGAGCCA